CATGCCTTCTGAGTCATAGCCATAAAACACACTGCGGCTTTTGCCTTGCTCTCCTGAATTACTTACATTGTGGGAATCCAGCTTCCATATCATGAGGATACTCAAGCAGCCTTATGGAAAGATCCCTGTGGTGAGAAACTGAGGCTTCTTGCCAACAGTTAGCACTCAGCTGCCTACCATGGTAGGAAGAGGAATCTCCAGCCCTAATCAAGATTTCAGGCCAGGCATGGTGGCTCACACCTGTAATCCCAGCATTGTGGGAGGACAAGGCAGGGGGATTGCTTGAGCCTAGGAGTTCAGGAACAGCCTGGGCAACATAGGAAGACCCTGTCTTTACAAAAAAAATTAAAAATTAGCCAGGCATGGTGGCACATGCCCATAGTCCCAGCTACTCAGGAGGCTGAGGTGGGAGGATCACTTGAGCCCAGGAGATCGAGGCTGCAGTGAGCTGTGATTGTGCCACTGCACTCTAGCCTGGGTGACAGAGTGAGACCCTGTCTCAAAAAAAAAAAAAGACTTCAGATGACTGTTTACATGGTCATCTTCTTAATCGCAGCTTCATGAGACCAGAACAACCTAGCTAAGCTTGCTCTTGAATTGCTGAAAAGATATAAAATGATAAATGTTTGTTCTTTAAAAAAAAAAAATCAAGAGAGTACTAGAAGATGAGGATGGACAGATCATAGAGTGCATTCAGGCTTAGATCTTTATCCAGCCAACTAGGAGTGTTTTCCTTGTACTCCACAATGATCCCTAAATGAAATCAGATGGGGAGGAAGGAGGAGTCCTTAATGGATTGGGCTAGACTCCTCCCTACTCAGAACAGCTTTCTGCTTATCCGTCTTATTTATTTAATTAAAGAAAGGATTTTTCATCTAAAAATGTTTGAAAGGCATTGCTATAAGTGATGAAGAGTCACTAACAGATTTGAAGCAGGTGACTGACATAATGTGTATTTCAGATAATTCAAGCAGTAGAGGACAGACTGAAGAAGAGCAAAACTATAGACCAAAAGACCAGGTAAGAGGCCACTTCAGTAGTCTAAGCAAGTGATTCTGGGTACTGGAATAACGGCAGTGCAGCAGGGCTGAACAGGAGGAGGCAGCCACAAAAGAGGCTAGAAGGCAGAATCGACAGTACGTGGTGAGTGACTAGATGTATGCAGGGGATGGTGGGATGGTGGGGACAGATGAGACAAAGAGAGACTGACTCCTAGATTTCTCGCTGGGGCCACTGCACGAATCCTTGTGTCATCATAAGAAGAAGGAAAAGAAGGACTAGTATTTGGCTAATAGTAATAGAGACCTGACTGCAATGGCTTCAACAAAAGAGCTTGTTCTCTCATGTAAAAGACATCAGGAGGAAGGCAGTTCTGAGCACTGGTTGAGACCCAAGGATAGCAGGGCAAAGGCTCTGCAATTCTTGTGGCCTCTCCTTCCCAGTCCCAGACTGGCTGCTAGTACTCCAATTATCATGTCCATTTCCTAAGAAGCAGGATGGAATAAGGATAAAAGGGTAAAAAAGGCTTGAGGTCACCCATCAACTGACATCTACTTCCATCTCTTTTGCTTGGCCAAAGCTAAGTCATATTCAGAATCTTAGTTGTTGTGGGGAAGGGGACTGGAATATGCACCCTAACTTTACAGACACTCATGTATAGGAGGGTATAGCAGAAGAGTGTCAGAGTGGTGCTGAGTGAATCAATCTGTGGTATTGTCCACAGTAGAGAAATGATGAGTTTGGCCTTCATCATGTTGGATCTGAAAGGTAGGACATCAGGTAAAGAGGTAGAGTAGGCAACTGGCTATACAGTTCTGGGATACAGGAAGGCACAGTAGGCAGATTTAGATTTTATCATCAGCATAAGTGTAATTAATGCCATGTAAAGTGACAAGAATGCCCAAGGAAGGCATAAAGAGAGCAGGGACAAAAGCAAGATCAGAACCGTGTGGAATACCAATACTTGAGGGGCAGGCAGAAGAAAAAGAATCCAAAGGATTGAGAAGGCCAAAGAAGGAGAAGGAGGCTCACAAGAGCAGTTTCACATGGTGAAACCCTGTCTCTACTAAAAATACAAAAAGTAGCCAGGCATGGTGGTACACAACCGTAATCCTAGCTACATGGGTGGCTGAGGCAGGAGGATTACTTGAATCCAGGAGGCAGAGGTTGCAGTGAGCTGAGATCGCGTCACTGCACTCCAGCTTGGGCGACAGAGCGAGACTCCATCTCAAAAAAAAAAGAAAGAAAGAAGGAAAGAAAACACGTAGCTAGATGTCAGCCTATAGCTTTTTCTGGTTCAACACTAAAGTTTCATAAGGGCAGGATTCTTTGCTGTTTACTGGTTGTACGGGATTAGATAGTGACCCTTAAAAATTCACATTCTGGCCGAGCACAGTGGCTCATGCCTGTGATCCCAGCACTTTGGGAGACCGAGGTGGGAGGATCACTTGGGTCCAAGAGTTTGAGACCAGCCTGGCGAACATGGTGAAAACCCGTATCTACTAAAAATACAAAAACTAGCCAGGCATGGTAGCATGCACCATCTCAAAAAAAAAAAAAGAAAGAAAAAAGAAAAAAAATTCACATCCATCCAGGAACCTCGGAATGTGACCTTATTTGGAAATAGTGATGTTGCAGATACAGTTAGTTAAGTTAAAATGATGTCATACTGGAGGAGGATGGGTCCTTAATCCAGTATGATTGGTGCCCTTCTAAGAAAAGAACAGGCAAAGGGACAATACCATGTGATGATACAAGCACTGATTGGAGTGATGCATTTACATTACAAGCCAAGGAATGCCAAGGATTGCTGGTAAACGCCAAAAACCAGGAATGAGGCAAGGAAGGATTCTCCCCTACAATCTTGAGAGACAGCATGGACTTACCAACACCTTGATTTCAGACTTCTAGCCTCTACAACTATTAAACAATTTCTATTGTTTTAGGCCACCCAGTTTGTAGTACTTTATTTTTTTTATTTTTTGAGACAGAGTCTTACTCTGTCACCCAGGCTGGAGTACAGTGGCACAATCTCAGCTCACTGCAACCTCTGCCTCCCCATTCAAGCAATTCTCCTATCCCAGCATCCCGAGTAACTGGGATTACAGGCACACGCACCACCATGCCCAACTAAATTTTGTATTTCTAGTAGAGATGGGAGTTCACTACGAACTCCCGGTCTCAAGTGATCCACCCACCTCAGCCTCTCAAAGTGCTGGGATTACAGGCGTGAGCTACCACACCCAGGCTGTAGTACTTTATTATGGCAGCTCTAGAAAACTAATACACTGGAATATTCCAGACTTCTAGGATAGTATCTGGAACACAGTAGGAACTCAGTAAATGAAATATTTGTTGCATGAATGGATGGATATTTTAATTCCTAGGATTGACCTTTCCATGACTTCTAGCACCTGCTGGTAACCATTCCCTAGTCACACCCGCACACACTTCTTGATACTCTCTCCTCTGTTTCCCACATCACCACGTTCTTCTGGTTCTGTTCCAATTCTTTTGTCTGCCTTTTAAATATTCAGTCCTCTCTGCTTGCTCCACACTCTGTAATTTTATCCCTTCCCAGGTTTCAATTTCCCATATATACCAAGGACTCCCAAATCTAAAACAGAGCTAACCACATCACACCGCTGCTTAAAAAACAGAGATGGGCCGGGTGCAGTGGCTCACGCCTCTAATACCGGCACTCTGGGAGGCAGAGGCAGGTGCATCGTCTGAGGTCAGAATTTCGAGACCAGCCTGGCCAACATAGTGAAACCCCATCTCTACTAAAAATACAAAAAATTAGCCAGGCGTGGTGGCAGGTGCCTGTAATCCCAGCTACTCGGGAGGCTGAGGCAGGAGAATCACTTGAACCTGGGAGGTGGAGGTTGCAGTGAGCCAAGATCACACCATTGCACTCCAGCCTGGGCAACAAGAGCAAAACTCTGTCCAAAAAAAAAAAAACAAAAACGGAGATGGCTCTTCATTGCTTACAGATTAAGGCCAAACTTGACCACTTCAGTACTTTACTCTGTCCTCACCCTAGTATGCATCAACCCCTTCCTGTAAAGTAACCTGTGCTCCAGTCACAAAGGACAATTCAGGTTTCTAAAGCACACCATGTTTGATGTTTTTAATGCTTCCATATTCCTTCCACCCGGAATGCTCTTCATTCCCTTCATCTACTTGGTGAAATCCTAGTTCAGGCTAAACACGAATGCCATCATCTTTTGAAGACTTTCCTGGCCACCATTCAGGACAAATGACCCACTCCCACCTGTTTTTCTTTGTGTTCAGAAGACCATCACAACAGGAGTCATTCCCTCAAAGTCACGAGCTCTTTAATGGTAAAAATCATACCTTATTCATCTTCACAGATCCAGTACCTACCTCAGTGCCTGGCACATGGTATGCTCCACAAGATTACAGGTTGAATGAACTCATTCAAACCTGTACATTGTAAACAAACTACAGCTATCAAATGGCAATGGAGGGGCCGGGCACAGTGGCTTACGCCTGTAAACCCAGCACTTTGGGAGGCCAAGGAGGGAGGATCACTTGAGGACAAGAGTTCGAGACCAGCCTGGCCAACATGGTGACACCTCGTCTCTACTAAAAATACAAAAATTAGCTGGGCGTGGTGGTGCACGCCTGTCATTCCAGCTATCAGGGAGGCTGAGGTAACAGAGTTGCTTGAATCTGGGAGGTGGAGGTTGCGGTAAACCGAGGTCACACCACTGCACTCCAGCCTGAGCAACAGAGTGAGCGAGACTCTATCTCAAAAAAAAAAAAAAAAAAAAAAAAGCAATGGAATCACATCTGAGCACCATTTCAACAAAGCACAATAAAGATATTACTGCATTAACAGAAGTTAGAAAACCACCACAAATGTCAAAGTATTGGGCCCAACTGACCTGTTCAACAATAGATGTGATATTTATATTATTCAGAAACAGACTCCAACACAATAGGGAAATCCTAAACAGGGAGCATCAACCTCTTACCTCCGCAGATACATAGTCTCCTCGTCTTCTGTGTTACAAAACTTATGGGCATGTTTGGCAGCATCGATCACACGGGACCGGTCCCGGGGCCTCATGGGCAATTTCTCTAACTGGCAGTCTGAAGGAATGGAGAGATTTGGTCACTAGAGTCACGGCAAAATATAGCAAATGAGTCACTGCAAAATATCCTGAGAAGTTTTGAATGGGGTCTCTAGCACTAGAATTTTCTACTGCAATTACTATGCTTATTGAAATCTATTACTGAATGTTCCGACTAAAACTGACTTTCTGTCAGGAGACCTTGGTATTTGGTCCCAGCTCTGCTACTACCCTGGTGATCTTTGGCAAATCACTTCCTCCTTCAGAGACTTTTGCCTCATTTGAAAGATGAGTAGATGATATTATCTCAAAAGTCCTTCCCAGTACTGCAATTCAGGTTTCTATGAGGATTTCTGTGATCATAGTACACTTGGTTTGTGTTATAATGCATTAGAATCAGAAGACACAATCAAGCATACTGGAATGCCTACGAGGAAGCACTGGGAAAAGTGGGTGTGTGCTAAGAAAAGGAGAGAGGCTGGGTGTGGTGGCATGCACCTATAGTCCCAGCTACTGAGAAGAATGAGGCAGGGCAATTACTTGAGACCAGGGGTGCAATGCTGTCATGTCCCATGATTCTGCCTGTGAATAGCCACTGTACTCCTGCCTGGGCAATACAGTGAGACCCTGTCTCTGTTTAAAAAAAAAAAAGAGGCCAGGCAAGGTGGCTCACACCTGTAATCCCAGCACTTTGGGAGGCCGAGGCCGGCAGATCACCTGAGGTCAGGAGTTCAAGACTGGCCTGACCAACATGGAGAAATCCCGTCTCCACTAAAAAAATACAAAATTAGCTGGGCATGGTGGTGTATGCCTGTAATCCCAGCTACTTGGGAGGCTGAGGCAGGAGAATCGCTTGAATCCGGAAGATGGAGGTTACAGTGAGCTGAGATCACGCCACTGCACTCCAGCCTGGGCTACAAGAGCTAGACACTGTTTCAACAACAAAAAAAAAGTCCCAGCCCTGATGCAGCTTCCATTCTAGTGGAAGAGGCAACATATTTTAAAATAATTATAATATGATCTTGGGCAATGGTTAAGTGCTAAATATTAAGCAGGGTAAGAGAACAAAGTGACAGGGATGCTGCTTTAGATAAGGTAATCAGGGAAAGGTTCTCTAAGGAAATGACATTTCAGCAGAGACCTGAATGAAGTAAGGAGGGACTGAGGGAAAAGTTTTTGGGGCAGAAGAAATACCAATTCCAAAGGCACTGGGAGGCCAGAACACTTTTGACATGATGGAGAAAAAGCAAAAAGGCCACTGTGGCTGAAGTGCAATGAGCAAGGGGAAGACTGTTAGGGGATGAAGCCTGAGAGGTAGCCACAGGCCTGATCAAGGGTCTTGGTATGGATGGACTTTGGTTTTATTCTCAGTCTTATATGAAACCATTGGTTTTGAACAGGACTCTGGCTACTATGTAGAAAACAGTGGAAGCAACGAGAGCAAGAGACTATGGTGCCAATCCAGGTGAAAGATGGTAGTAGCTTGGACTACAGTGTTAGAAGTGGAGGTGGTTGGCTGGCCGCGGTGGCTCACACCTGTAATCCCAACACTTTGGGAGGCCTAGGTGGGTGGATCACTTGAGGTCAGGAGTTCAAGACCAGCCTGGCCAACATGGTGAAACCCCGTCTCTACTAAAAATACAAAATTAGCCGGGCGTGGTGGCACATGCCTGTAATCCCAGCTAGTAGGGAGGCTAAGGCAGGAGAATCACTTGAACCTGGGAGGCGGAAGTTGCAGTGAGCTGAGATCGCGCCATTGCACTCCAGCCTGGGCAAGAAGAGTGAAACTCCGTCTCAAAAAAAAAAAAAATTTAGCCGGGCCTGGTGGCCCGTACTACTTGAGAGGCTGAGGCAGGAGAATCGCTTGAACCCGGGAGGCGGAGGTTGCAGTGAGCTGAGACCGCGCCACAGCACTCCAGCCTGGGTGACAGAGTGAGACTCTGTCTCAGAAAAAAAAAAAAGAATGGAGGTGAAAAGAAGCAGTCAGATTCTGCATAATTTTCATGAAAGCACCTGTAGGATTTCCTTATGGACTAGACAGATGTAAGGTATGTGACAGAGAGAAGTCAAGACTGATTCCAGGTTTTGGTCTGAGATACTGGATGAATAGGGATACTACTGACTGCAATAGGGATGACTGTAAGAGAAACAATTGGAGAGCGGGTGTAGAGGGTCATGAATTCAATTTTCAGCACGATATATTTGAGAGGCCCATTAGACATTCAAGTGGAGATGTTGAATAGGCAATTGAAGTCTGAGGAGAGGTGCAGGTTAAAGATGAACATCTGGGAGTTACCAGCACGTCGGTTGTATTTAAAGCTTAGGAATGAATGAGATCACCTAGGGGGTGGGTACAGAGTGAGAATAGGTGAGAGTACTGAGCTATATGGCCTTGGAATGCCTAAAAATCTGAGAGAGAAAAGGGAGCCAGACAAGAAGGGGAAAAATCTAAGGCCAGGCGTGGTGGCTCACGCCTGTAATCCCAGCACTTTGGGAGGCCAAGGCAGGTGGGTCACCTGAGGTCAGGAGTTCGAGACCAGTCTGGCCAACGTAGTGAAACCCTGTCTCTACTAAAAATACAAAAATTAGCCAGGCGTGGTGGCGGGCGCCTGTAATCCCAGCTACTCGTGAGGCTGAGGCTGGAGAATCACTTGAATCCGGGAGGCAGAGGTTTCAGTGAGCCGAGACTGCGCCACTGCACTCCAGCCTGGGCGGCAGAGTGAGACTCCATCTCAAAAAAAAGGAAGAAAAAAAAAGAAGAAGAAGAAGAAGGGGAAAAATCTGAGGTAGGAGGAAAATCAGGTGAGTATGGAGTCTTGGAAGCAAATAAAAAACGTGTTGCAAAAAGAATGAAATGATTACCTCTGTCAAATGCCACTGAGAGAAGAATTAAAATGAACATTGATAACTGACCACTAGAACTGTTAACACGGAGTTCAGTTAGTAATTCTGCCAAATACGGTTAAGATGATGAGGTGGGAAGGAAAGCCTACCTGAAGTGAGGTCAGGAGAGAATGAGAAGTCAGGATGCAGAGACAGCCAATATAGGCAACTCTTTTGAGAAACTTTGCTATAAAAGAAGCAACGAAATGGGGTTATAACTGGAGGGGAACACAGGATCAAGGGAGGGTTTTATTTTTGTTTGCTGTAACGTAACAGCAACTGCAGCATCTTGGTATCCAGCAGAAACGTTATAAAGTTTCTAGAGGCAGTAGTTTTTGAAGACAGTGGATTAAGAGGGAAATACAATATGTTTGTGTTTCTATTTTTGTTTTCCTGAAGGAGTTTAGTTTTGAGGAAGGTCTGGATACAGAGTCACAAGGCTAAACAAAAAACAGGAAAAAAAAAATGCCCTGGAGTGGGGCGGGGATGTGTAGGGAGGATTTCGTCGGAAAGAGAAAACCCACCAATCTTCGTTGAGAAGTGGTTCCCAGATCAGTCAGAGGAAATTCGCCTTCAAGAACCCGAAGTCTGGCTCCTGGCAGACGCCCCCGCAGTTCCCAGCTACTCACCCAGCACTAGGACCATCTGGCCGCACAAACAGTAGTAAACATGGAGGGGCTTCTCGCCGTCGTCATATTCCTCCCGGTCCCGAGTGTCAGAGCAGACTACTGACCGAGACACTACTTTCGGCATGGTTCCCAGGAGCAATCTGAAGACTCTACGCCAAGAAGAGGGTCGCGCCGAAATGACGTCACAAGCGCGCCTTGACCCTTTTCCCTGTGGCTGCGCTGGTCACGTGTTAGTAGAAGTCTTATAAACTTCCGGGCTGTCCTATCAGGATAAGATATACAGGGGTGCGCGTGGAGCTTCCCAGAACCTACTTTGTCTTGGCCAAGTTAGCTGGGACTCCTGTGATCTGGGAGTCGCTCCTCAATGAAGATTGGTGGACACCCTTAATATTATATAAATTATTCACATTTCTATAACGCATGAATTTATATGTATATATACACATATGTATGTATAAGACCAGCTAAATAAAGAACTATGCATTATATAGTCTATATTATATATATATGATACTGACTTAGGTGTGTTTCTAAATATGATTTTGATTTTAATGACTATTCCGGATGAGTACCTAATTTTTTAGGTATCTTATTTTTTTAGTTGATATCATTCACATAACATAAAATTCACCTTTTAAAATGTGTTATTGAGTGGTTTTTAGTGTATTCACAAAGTTGTGTAACCATCACCACTAATTCCAGAGCATTTCCATCATCTCAAAAAGAAATCTTATACCCATGAGTAGTCACCACCACCCCTACCCCCCAACTTCCCAGCCTGCGGCAACCACTAATCTACTTTTTATCTCTGTGGATTTGCCTATTCTGGACATTTCATATAAATGGAATCCTACAATATGTGGCCATTTGTCTGGCTTCTTTCATTTACCATAATGTTTTCAAGGTTCATCCATGTTACAGTACTGCTTTCCTTTTTATGACTGAATAATATTTCATCATATGGATATGATGGATACATTTTGGATACATATGGATACATTTTGTTAATCCATTCATCAATTGTCGGACAACGGGGATGTTTTCACTTTTTGGTTATTATATAGACAATGCTGCTATGAACATTCATGTACAAGAATACTTCCGCCGCAAATTTGTGTGGGAATATAACTCTGGATTTTTAACTTTTGACAGCACGAGAAGTGATTAAAGCACCTTGACATTGTGATTCAAACAATGTTAAATGTCATTGAGTGACTTTACTGCGGTACAAGTTTCAGGTATAAACACTGTTCTGCCTTATAATTTTAGGTTAAATTCATTAAGGAACATTACTAAGTCTATGGCAAAAGCCATTTTTAAAAACTATTCACGTTCAATAATAGTGGTCAAAGGTGGGGTTCTTCTCATTTAGAAAATTTTCTAAAATTTTAGCCTCCCAAGTAGCTAGGATTACAGGCACGCAGCACCACACCCAGCTATTTATAGATGGGGTTTTGCCATGTTGGCCAGGCTGGTCTTGAACTCCTGGCCTCAACTAATCTGCCTGCCTCGACCTCCCAAAGTGCTGAGATTACAGGTGTAAGCCACTGCACCCGGCCTAGAAAATTTTCAATCTCAGCCCTGTGCTGAAGAAAGTCTCAAAACCTCACCGCTTTTGAATTGCTATTCATAGGGCAAGTCAGAAATATTTAACTTATGTTTCCGGGAAAAAAAAAAAAATGAAACTGACAATGGTTTAATCCATGAGAGTGAATGAACTTTGCGGTTTTGTTTTTTCTTTCTTTTTTTTTTTTTTTTTTTTAGATGGAATCTTGCTCTGTCACCCAGGCTGGAGTGCAGTAGCACCATCTCAGTTCACTGCAACCTCCGCCTCCTGGGTTCAAGCAATTCTCTGCCTCAGCCTCCTGAGTAGCTGGGATTATAGGCGCCCGCCACCATGCCCAGCTATTTTTTTTTTAGTTTTAGTAGAGATGGGATTCATCATGTTGGCCAGACTGGTCTTGAACTGCTGACCTCATGATCCACCCGCCTTGGCCTCCCAAAGTGCTGGAATTACAGGTGTGAGCCACCGCACCCGGCTGAACTTCACTGTTGACACTGCTGTCAACAATAACACAAGATAGATTCAAGTTTTTTGTTTGATTTATTTTTTTTGCAAAGTACCCGCTGTTACTTTTTTTGCAAAGTACCCAATTAATAACTATAGGATTTTAAACAACTTACATTTTGACAAGTATTGTACATTTGTCTAAGCCTTTTCTGCTCCATACATATCTGTAATACATCTTAGCAGATTCTGCTTTAGACTGAATTGAATTAGTATTTTCTTGATTTCTTTGAAAATACTCCCATCTGCAGTTGTTCTACACAGACCATACACACAGGCCAATTTTTTTTTTTTTTTTTTTTTTTTTTTAAAGACAGAGTCTTGCTCTGTCACCCAGTCCGGAGTGCAGTGGCACAATCTTGGCTCACTGCAACCTCTGCCTCCCAGGTTCAATCGACTCTCCTGCCTCAGCCTCTTGAGTAGCTGGGATTACAGGCGCGTGCCACCATGCCTGGCCAATTTTGTGTGTGTGTGTACGTGTGTGTGTGTGTGTGTGTATTTTTGTATTTTTAGTAGAGGCAGGGTTTCACCATGTTGGCCAGGCTGATCTCAAACTCCTGACCTCAAGTGATCTGCCCACATTGGCCTCCCAAAGTGCTGAGATTACAGGCGTGAGCCACCGTGCCCGGTCCAATTCTTCAGTCACTTTAAACTCAACACTGACTCCTTGAGTAAAAAACAAAAACTAAGCAATACTGGCAAACATTCAATTCGTTAGGAACCAAGAAAAATCACTTGAAATCATTTGCTTTGTTTTTGTTTTTGTTTTTGAGACAGGGTCTTGCTCTGTCACCCAGGCTAGAGTGCAGTGGCATGATCACAGCTCACTGCAGTCTCAAACTCCTGGGCTCAAGTGATCCTCCCACCTTAGACTCCCTAGTAGCTGGGACCACAGGTGCACACCACCACACCAGCTTTATTTATTTATCTATTTATTTATTTATTTATTTATAGAAGCAAGGTATTTCTATGTTGCCCAGGCTGTTCTTGAACTCTTGCGCTCAAGCAATCCTTCTGCTGCAGGCTTTCAAAGTGCTGAGATTACAGGTGTGCCCCACCGTGCCTTGCCCTTTTTTTGTTTGTTTGTTTTTGTTTCTGTTTTGTTTTGATGTTGCTTTCAATGTCCTCAACTCTTGGAGCCACTGTTCTTGCTGAAAGGTGAATAGTCTTCAACAGGTTTTATTTTTCTTGAGCATATTTCTTTTGACTTCTGCAACCGAACACAGTTTAGCTCAATATCAGTAAATGACTTTCCTTGCTTGGCTAACAAAGGAGCCACTCAGAAACTTACTTTGGCTACAGGCTTATTTTTATTTTTTACTTTTTTTTTTTTTTTTAGACGGAGTCTCCCTCTGTTGCCCAGGCTAGAGTGCAGTGGCGTGATCTTGGCTCACTGCAACCTCCACCTCCCAGGTTCAAGCAATTCTCCTGCCTCAGCCTCCTGAGTAGCTGGGATTATAGACGTGTGGCACCACACCCAGCTAATTTTTGTAATTTTGGTAGAGATGGGGTTTTACCATGTTGGCCAAGCTGACCTCGAACTCGTGACCTTGTGATCCGCACACCTCAGCCTCCCAAAGTGCTGGGATTACAGGCATGAGCCAATGCGCCTGGCCTATTTTTTAGTTTTATAATGAATTTTGCTATAATAAGATATTCTACTTAAAAATTTAAATTGTACTGGCCATTGCTCTCCTCTGAGTTGGGAATATTGTGATGAATGCTTAGTCTGGTAACGTTGATGTACATTATAATATTGTAGCAATGTGATGGTGTCATTGTGTAATAAACACAATGCTCCCACATCTAATTTGGCAATTAAGTAATCCACACTCCATTGTACCTTAAAAGCAAGACCTTCAAAGCCCACTTTCTTTACTTTTGACACAATAGGTATGCACTTGTAACTTTTTTAAATGCCATGGTAGATACATGTGGTATTCAATACACTGTGGAGTTATGCTGCATTCCTGCAATTTGTAGTACTTGGAAGAGCAGTATGAGGTGATGAGAGCACCACACATAGCCTCTGTCACTCACCTCTGCCATTGTAGCACAGATGCAGCCACAGCCAATACAGTAGGCCCTCCACATCTGTGGATGCAGGACTCACAGATACGGAGGGCCAAATGGGGGACTTTAGCATCTGTGGATTTTGGTATCTGAGACAGACCCTGGAACCAATCCCCTGTGGATACCAAGGGATGACTGTGCATAAATGAAAGAAAATGGCTGTGTCCCAGTGAAACTTTATTTATGGGCATTGAAATTTGAATTTCATGTAATTTTCTTTTATTTATTTATTTATTTATTTAGAGATGGAGTCTCGCTGTCTCCCAGTCTGGAGTGCAGCGGCCCGATCTCTGCTCACTGCAAGCTCTGCCTCCCGAGTTCATGCCATTCTCCTGCCTCAGCCTCCCGAGTAGCTGGGACTACAGGTGCCCGCCACCACGCCCGGCTAATCTTTTGTATCTTTAGTAGAGATGGGGTTTCACCGTGTTAGTCAGGATGGTCTCAATCTCCTGACCTTGTGATCCGCCCACCTCGGCTTCTCAAAGTGCTGGGATTACAGGCATGAGCCACCGAGCCCGGCCAAATTTCATGTAATTTTCATGTGTTACAAAATATTATTAAATCTTTTGACTTTTTTCAACCGTTTAAGAATATAAAAAACCATTCTTAGTTTGTAGGCCATAGACAAATAATGGCAGGTTAGATTTGGCTGTAGTTTGCTGAGCCCTGGTCTAGTGGATGTGGCTGGTTTGACTGAATTCCCATGTACAACATGGTAGACATGTGTATTAGTTTCATATTACTGCTGTAACAAGTTACCACAAACTTGGTGACTTAAGACAACACAAATTTATTACCTTAGAGTTTTGGACATCAGAAGTCCAAAACCAGTATCAGCGGTCTAAAGTCAAGGTGTCAGCAGGTCTGATTGCTTCTGGGGGCTTCAGGCTTCCATCTTTTGCCTCTTCCTACTCCTACTGCAGACATACTTTGGCTCCTTCACTGATGGCCACATCACTCCAGTCTCTGCTTCAGTCATCACATGGCCTCCTCTTTTACTCCTACTTCATCCCTGGTATAAGGACTGGTGTGATTGCCTCAGGTCCACCCCTTTAATCCAGGATAACATCCTCATGTCAAGAGTCTTAATTTAATCACATCTGCAAAGTCCCTTTTGCCATGTAAGGTAACATATTCACCAGTTACAGAGATAAGGAAATGGAGATCTGGGTTGGGGGGGCGGAGGGGGCAGGGTTGTGCATTATTCGGCATACCACATCTTGTCTTTGTTTTCTTTGATTCAGTAATTTAGCAGGTAGTGAAATCCTTTTTTTTTTTTGAGACGGAGTCTGGCTCTGTCACCCAGGCTGGAGTGCAATGGTGTGATCTCAGCTCACTGCAGCCTCTGCCTCCCAGGTTCCAGAGATTCTCTGCCTCAGCCTTCCAGGTAGCTGGGATTACAGGCACGCACCACCATGCCTAGCTAATTTTTTCGTATTTTTAGTAGAGACGGGGTTTCACCATGTTGGCCAGGCTAGTCTCGAACTCCTGACCTCAGGTGATCCGCCCGCCTCGGCCACCCAGAGTGCTAGGATTACAGGTGTGAGCCACTGTGCCTTGCCTGAAATCACATTTTCAAGGCCTTAATGTCTCCATTTCCCTCAACTTTGATATTCCCCTCCCTCCATCCTAACCTCTTTGTCTCTCTCTCTCTCTCTCCCCTCTGCTCCCACTTATGTCCTAGAGGCTGAAGATGAACAACATACAAGTTGTCAAGAGCAAAAGCACACACTTTGCTAACTGTTGCTTCCTAAAAGTGATTCTCTTGAAATATTTTCTGAGATTATTTGAGTCAAGAAAGACCTTTCGATTTTTATTTTCTGTTGGTGCTTTGTTGCTGTTTGTGCTAAATTTTATCAACAGAGGTGAAAACCGTAGGAAAATAAAATTCATTTGCCTTCACTGGATAACAGAAATACAAACTTACAGCCTGATAAGGCAAGAAACGATCTTTAATTTCGTCTCCTAACCCAAAATAGTTCAGGAAAATAAAAATCTATTTTTCATGTTGAAATCTTCATGAATGAAATTTCACAATTTTTTTGGTTTTTTTTTTTTTTTTGAGACAAGTCTTGCATTTTTGCCCAGACTGATCTCAAACTCCTCACTTCAAGTGATCCTCCCACCTCTGCCTCCCAAAATGCTGGGATTACAGGCATGAGCCACTGTGCCCAGCCCACTTTTCTTTAAATTGAGGAGACTTGTCCTTTCCGGACCCCTGCTCTTGGGTAGGGGTGGTGCTTGACTGTGAAGAGGGTATTTCTTCAAGATGTCAAGGTCAAAAGAGGGTAGAAAGAATGCTTGGCCAAACTGCGCTATAGTTAGTATGTTCTAGCCTGATAATCATCATGCTGGAAAACAATCTTCTGTATCGCTGCTTGCTATGACAACCCTGCTTCTGCTGAGGAATGTGGGGGCACGGTGTTCCTGCAATGCAGTTTCATTCCTTAGTCAGAGAATGCTATTCCCATGCAGGTGCCCGGGGCTTCCAACCATTTGGGTCATGCTCCTGAGTTTTTGTTTGTTTGTTTGTTTTTTGTTTTCTGAGATGGAGTTTCGCTCTTGTTGCCCAGGCTAGAGTACAATGGTGCGATCTCGGCTCCCTGTAACCTCCACCTCCCGGGTTCAAGCAATTGTCCTGCCTCAGCCTCCGGAATAGCTGGGATTACAGGCACGCACCACCATGCCCGGCTAATTTTGTATTCTTAGTAGAGACGGGGTTTCTCCATGTTGGTCAGGCTGGTCTCAAACTCCTGACCTCAGGTGATCCACCCACCTTGGCCTCTCCAAGTGCTGGGATTGCGGGCTTGAGCCACTGCGCCCAGCCGTTAGTTTTCTCGATTATGTAGTCCAAGGAAGGAAGAGAAAGGGGGTTTCAAAAAACAGACAAGCTCACAACAAACTTACATACATCTATATCCTTCAATAAATTTCAGACATGTATATCCAGTAACAGGAGCTTCTCAGTCCCTTTCATACTCTCCAGTATGGTACATGCCATTTCTTAATAGGGTATTTTCTCTCTCTCTCTTTTTTTTTGGTCTGGTTCTGTCGCCCAGGCTGGAGTGTAGTGGCATGATCTCGGCTCGCTGCAACCTCTGCCTCCTGGGTTCCAGCGATTCTTCTGCCTCAGCCTCCCGAGTAGGTCGGACTACAGGTCCTCGCCACCGCACCCAGCTAATTTTTTTGTATTTTTAATAGAGATGGGGTTACCCCATGTTGGCAAGTCTAATCTTGAACTCCTGACCTCAGGTGATCTACCTGCCTCAGCCTCCCTAGTACTGGGATTACAGGCATGAGCCACCGTGACTGGCCTCAAAAGGATATTTTCAATGCATCTCTCTCATGCTCAAACACCTATAAAAGCTGCCTAAATTCCCCAACCTCGCATTTGAGGGCATTTAATCAACTTCTGTCACTCTCACTTTTCCTAGTTGAGTTCTCATCATTCCCCAGCCAAGAATCTCTCCATTAGCCGAGCTCATCTGCCCACTATTCCCAGAATATGGTTTAGCTCCATGCCCTTGTCTGTGCCATTGCCCTCACAGAAACTGCTTAAGTTCTTCTCTCTCAAGCTCTGCTTTCATCTCTTTTGAAACAAAATTGAAATACACCCATTTCAGGAAGCTTGTCCTGATCCCACCAGAATGACGATTCCTCTGCTGTGCAATCTCTCAGCATCTGTGGTTTCACATACTTCTACAAGTTGAGGATCCCAAATCTGAAAATCCAAAATCCCAAGTGCTTCAAAACGTGAAACTTTTATAATGCAAATAATTCCAAAATCTGAAAAAACAAAACAAACAAACAAACAAAAAACTGGAAATCTGAAACCGTTCTGGTTCTGCTGTTGCTGTTATAGGCAGACTCCTAAGATGCTGCCCTCCCCTAAGATTCTTGGTCCTTGGTATATACGCACACTTTCTCCCAGTTATTAAATGAAATAGTAATCTAGGTTCTGCAGTGGCAAAATTTAGCAGATGCAATAAAGGTCCCAAATTAGATGTTTTTAAGATAGGGAGATCATCCACACGGTGGGTCTGACATAATCTGGTAAGCCTTTAAAGTAGACTGTGCTCTTCCTGAAAACAAGATTCAAAGAGTGAGAGGGATGTGGTAGGAGAGAAATTTTCTGTTGATGACTTTGAAGATGGAGTAAGCCACGTGGCAAGGAATGCAGGTGGCCTCTAGGAGCAGAGAGTAGTTCCCAGGTGGCAGCTAGTAAGGAAATAGGGACCAAAGTCCTACAACTGCAATGAACCGGGCTTGGCCAACAACTTATAATTTGTTAAGCAGTGATGAAAACGAATATGCTCGCTTTTGTAGATCTTGCTTTTGTTGATTTCATATGTGTGTATGTGTGTGTTAGTAGACTGCAAGTTCCTAGATGAGAGGAAAAAAAGTTTTTTTAAAATTTTTGTACCCCCTTCCTACTACAGCCATAATGTGATGCTATTAGGGAGACTTGCCTTAACTGATATATTGGGGTTAATGGGAGATAGAAATCCTTGACCATGAAAGTACCTGTTATTAAACAGCAGCTAGAATTACTACCATTGTCAAGTGCCTCCTGCTTCTCATGTTAGAAACAAATTCCTGCACATCTGATATCTTCTGGACATCTTCATGGGAATGTCTCACCAGTCCCATGAACTCAGTAAGTCCCACCCAAAATTTCCTCTCCCAAACTTGTCCCTCTCTCTCTATTCTGTAATTCTGTTAATGGCACCTTCAAATCCCCAGTTATCTTGGGGCTTAGAGTTTCAGCCTCTGTTGACTCCTTCCTCTCTCTTGCCTCCATATTCAACCTGTTGCCAAGTCCTCCCCATTCATTCATATCGTACTTGCCTTTACTGTCACTGCCTGGTTCAGTATCTCACACCTAGATACTGCAAGAGTCTCCTGCCTGCTCTCTTGAGACCAATCTCTGATAAGCACAGCTCTAATGATGTCACTTCCCTGCTTAATGGACTTCCAAGGAATCCATTAGCTTGGCATTCAAAACTCTTGATGACTTAACCCAAACCTACCTTTCTCCTATTTTCAATAATTTTTAAATGTGTATTATGCCTATCTTCTAAGTTATTTTGGGTTGACCTTTAAAAATTATCCTTTAAAACTGTTACTGCTTTTGCAGGTCCACGGACTGTGACTCTTCCTGCAACCTGCAGCTTTTCCACGTTCCTTTTACTTCAGACCCACTGTCCTTGCAACTCCCTGCAGTCGGATAGTCTCATACTGTGGACTCTTCTGAACATATAATAGTCGCTTGGCTTGTTGAACTACCAAGGGGAAATGTGGTTCCAGAGCCAAATTGTGAGTGCCCAAAGCAAAACAAAACAAAACAAAACCCTACTCTGCCTGCCTTAAGCTCCCATTCCCTCCCACAGGACATACAACACCATTTCATTCTGCCCTGGGGTGATCATTGGCCTAAACGTTGAGCGCCCAATCCTGCATTCAATCCCACAGCCCCGCCCCGCCCGCCGGTCATAGTCAAGGCCGATTTATTGTTTTGATTTTTCGTGATTTTAACCAATCACTCTGCTCCGCACCCCTCCGACCCCAATCTCCGGTGTCCGCAGGGATTGGGCACCCTAGAGTTGCCGCTTTTTGAGAACCGGTTTTACCTCCGCCCACTCCTTCGTCCTCTAGTTTGGGACTTCCAAACTTCTCCCCCCTCCTCCCCGGGCATAGTGCGCGCTCTCATGAATGATCTGGTCACAAAACAAAAAAGAAGAGAAAAAGAAAAAAAGGAAGAAAAAAGAGAAAAAGAAAAAAAGCCGAAAACTTCCCAGGGTTTGCCTTAGAATTAGCAGGTGGGGATGGACCCCGTTCCACCACGAGGTCCTCCAGCGCCCCGGGCTCCAGCGTACCCCACGCCTCTGAGCTCGCGGCCCCGCCCCCGGCCTCCTGCGGGGCTTTAATGACATAAGCAACTTTCCTCGCGCACCCCCCGCCCCATCTTGGTACGGCCTGTCCGGCGCTCGACGTTCCACCCCCCTCTCTCTTCTCTCAGGTTGGTTCAGCCCCCGTCTACACTGGGGTGGTGCTTAGCCGGCGCCAGACCGACCCTCGACTTCGGAGAGGCAGCGCGGTGCCTCTGGGTGCTTCCGCCTCCCCTTCTCCGGCTTCTCCAGCGTCCTCGGCCTCGTCGCCCGCCGCGGGAACCCGAGACCCCAGTGTATGCCCCACCCCTGACCCCGCTCGCGACATGTCCACTCCGGCTCGGCGGCGCCTCATGCGGGACTTCAAGAGGTAAACTGAGGGGACGGCCGAGGCCGGGGGTTGCGAGCCGGGGCACAGGGCGGGTCCCGAGGCGCGCCGGGCGGGGAGGGCTGGGGAGCGGCCGGGAGCGGGCGCCAGTGCCGGCCTAGGGGGACCCCTGTCTGTCTTCCCGAAGGTTGCAGGAGGATCCTCCAGCCGGAGTCAGCGGGGCTCCGTCCGAGAACAACATAATGGTGTGGAACGCGGTCATTTTCGGGTGAGTCTGCGTTCGTGGCGGTGGCGAGAGAACGGGGGACGCGAGCCCTCTCGGTCTGCGCTCCAAGGCGGGCCCCCCGTGGAGGCCGAGGGGGTAGGGGAAAATGTTTGGGTCTGGCTGGGCCTAGGCGCCTCCCCGGAGCCTGTGCCTCGATTAGCTCAGTTCCCGCTGCCAGGGGGAACCGCTTGGGGTTCTAGGGGGGCGGGGCGGGGAGTGGTGGCGGTTAGGCGCGGCGGCCTGCCCTGTGTCTCTGAGCCCGGGACATCTATTTGTAGTGGCTTCCGACTCCGGCAGCGGTGCGGGAGGTGGCAGAGCTCGGGATAGCCATCTCAGATGAAGCAGGGAGAAGGGGGCCCCTTAAGTGGGAACTGACCATTTTTCTCTGTGTTGCAGGCCTGAAGGGACCCCGTTTGAGGATGGTAAGAGAGAGTTTCTTTACCCACTTTTCAGGAGCCTGATCATCTGGGGAATGGGTTCCCACTCATCCTGGAAGTGTCTCCTGCTTAGGAACCTGGCTCTGCCTAGTCTCTGTCTGCTAAAGGCTTGAGTGGAATGCAGTGTGTAGCTGGTCGTTCTGGATATTGTATGCTTGACTAGAACTGCACCTTTCTTCTTGCTTTCTTAAAAAAAAATCTGGGGAAGGCAGTCACTTTTTAAAAGGAGCAATCATAGCACTGGTATTAAGGATTTTTGAGGCTTGGGCTGTGATTCTGCTAAATTCAGCCCTCCATCACTGAATTAGTATAAACCCAACCAGTTGCTGATAGTCAGCAGAGACCCCAGAGACCATCTGGTTCAGAATTCTACCCCAAGGGCAGGAATTGTGGTCAGCAGGTGCTTGGTAGATGTGTGTTGGATGTTGAGTGGATGCAAGCGTCCCTTCCATTCAACTGTCTGGTTTCTACAATCTGACATTGAATGCCTGTCAGCCTCACTTCTCTAAGATGGTCTTAAATGCCTCATTTGAGTACAGTATTGTTTCTTATTTTTAAGTGAATTTACAGTGTGTGCTTTCATCAAGACGTTATGATCAGTAATTTCAAAGCAGCTTCACAATTGAAGTTAGCCTCACTGTACCCTTTTGATCAGTGTCCCGCCTACTTGAAAGTACTACATGTACCAGTAGGTACATAATTTTTAAGTGATTTAGGTTTAACTTTTAAAAACACATGTGTAAATTGCTTTTTAAAAACTTTATGATTTTAGATAATTACAGATTCATATGCAGTTGCAAGAAATTAAGAGAGACACCCTTTATACCCTTAACCCAGTCCTCTCCCCAAACCCTCCCGTTTGGTAACATCTTGAATGACTAGACCCTATCACAACCAGAAAAATGACATTGATAGTTCTGCACTCAGTTGTGTGTGTGGTGTGTGTGTGTTGTTGTTTTTTCAAAGTTTAATACATTTAAAGGATGATTAAAGTATTTGAACTTATGAAATTCTTTAATATTTGAGGTTTTTAAAAAAAGGAAAAGGATGTTTCTGTTATTTTTTTTCCTCAATGATTTATCTTCATTCGGTCACATAGCATTTATACACACACACACACTTCAGTTTGAAGGTGGGAACAAAAACATTTCTGCAAACTACTTAATACATACTTATGTTGCTGAGCCGGATTGCTTTTTGATGCTACCAGTCCGCAAAATGTTGTGAGGTAAGTCAATATCAACTAAGTCTATAATTCATCTCAAGTAGTTAGATTTCCCCAGGAAACTGTGGACAGTCACCTGAATATTTTTAGCTTCCTCTCTACCTTTACCCCCTGGGTAAATATCATTGCTCTTCAGGGCTGCAATGAAAAGAAATGACAGCAGGAGACAGTGATTGTAAGGGCATACTACTTTGGTGCAGTTAATCATTTGAACTGATTTGTAGCAAGAAACTATAGCTAGACTTAAATTTTCCTCTACCAGATTGGCACTAGTTATTTATTTATTTATTTATTTTTGAGACGGAGTCGCGCCCTGTCACCCAGACTGGAGTGCGATGGCGCGATCTCAGCTCACTGCAACCTCCGCCTCCTGGGTTCAAGTGATTCTCCTGCTTCAGCCTCCTGAGTAGCTGGGATTACAGGTGCACGACACCACGCCCGGCTAATTTTTTGTATCTTTAGTAGAGACGGGGTTTCACCATGTTGACCAGGCTGGTCTCAAACTCCTGACCTTGGGATCCACCCGCCTTGGCCTCCCAAAGTGCTGGGACTACAGGCTTGAGCCACCGTACCCAGCCAGCACTAGTTCTTTATACCTGAGATTTAAATGTACAGATTAACTGTATTTGCTTTAGCTCTAGTAGGCTTTGTTTTCATTGGCTTCTTTTTTCCTCGTTTTACTCTGTTTTATGCTGGGCACAGCTTTATTAATAGTACATCGCTTTGCTGGGGATCGGCTACCTAAATATTTCAAGGGTGCTTCTCTTAAGTGGTATGAATTGAAAAGGTACTTATGGAGTCCATTATCTACCAGGACTGTCACCTTTGACATTACTGGTACTATTTTTGATGATGTGTATCTCCATCCTAGCATTACTGAAAGGAATTACTCAGGCTGATTTGTTCTGTTGAACAGTCTGCTACCCATGGATGCTTCCTCAGGTATCTGGAACACTGTGGTTTTGAGATGGAGTTTTGCTCTTGTCACCCACGCTGGAGTGCAATGGCATGAGCTCAGCTCACTGCAACCTCTGCCTTCCAGGTTCAAGCAATTCTCCTGCCTCAGCCTCCCGAGTAGCTGGGATTACAGGCACCCGCCACCACGCCCAGCTAATTTTTGTATTTTTAGTAGAGGGAGGTTTCACTATGTTGACCAGGCTGGTCTCGAACTCCTGACCTAAGGTGATCTGCCCACCTTGGCCTCGCAAAGTGCTAGGATTATGAGCATGAGCTGCTGTGCCCGGCCTTAACCATTTTTTGAATGTCCTTTATTTACAGTTGGGGACTTTACAGTTAGAGAAAAGACTGATTAGGGATAAGTGGCATAGTTGATTTTGCTGTTTCCAATGTATTATGTTAATTAAGAACCCTAAAACTACTTTTGCTTCTTCGTTGTAAACTGTTCGTTATGGAAGTTTCTGGAACAGTCAGGTCCTAGTTAGAGTGATGAAATCTTAAGAAAAGCAACACTTAAGGGTATTTTGGTTTAACTTCACACAATAAGAGGAATATATTCTTAAGAGCTTACACTACCAAAACATTGGGGAGAAATGCTTCCTCATCAGAATATCTTGGTATACATGCTAAATACAAAGGTTATGGAATATAATCTTCATCACATAATCTAAAAATTGTTAATAGACATGGTAAGGTACTGGTATTTGCTTTTCATAATAGATGTGTTCTTTAGAATTGGGGTATACATCTTTTTTATTTTTTTTAATTTTTGGAAATATTTCTGAGTCATAAAATCGTTTTCAAAATGAATCTCTAAAGTCCACTAAGAGTATTTTAAAGATAAATAAATCCTATGATGAAGAGTTTTGGATATTACTTGAAAAATGGATTTTCAGTCATCAAAAATAATTTTGAAGTTACATGTATTTTGCTTTCTTCTCAGGGGTCACAAACTGGTGGCCAAATAGCAGAAAACACCTGCAGGTGTGTTTTCTTTGGCCAACACAGTATTTTCCAAAACTTGACTTTGTCAGTGTCTTTAGGCTCTAGTTCAACCTTATCACTCCTTATTGCCATACACCAAAATTATATAAACTTAACACGTTTATATAATTTTGGTGGTCTCCCTGTATAGATGGATTAATTGATACTTTCCTTACGATGTTTTAGCCTCGGGAAGATGAACAAAATTAGTATACATTATGTACAACCATGGTGAGGCTTACATTTTCAGTTATTTTAAAGCCTAGCCTTCTAAATATTCAGAGAGTAAGCTCTAGTCTCAGACTGCATAATACTAATTCTGGGATTTTAAATTCCCTTAACATTTGTTTAGAGCTTAGAAATTACATTGAAGGTTATACTAAACAGGCTCTGATTAATGTGACTAAAAGTGCAGTGAAGTTTTCACCCTCTTTTTAATGTGTACCTTGAGTAAGATTTGGGTTAAGTCTTAATTTATATTCAAGCAGACATAAATAGGTTGCTTCACTTCTCAAGATATTAAGTGAACTGTTTTAAAAGACTTGTGATTAACTTCTTTGGTAGCTAGGTAATCACCTAGTTGAACTTCTGGGCAAGTGTATGCAGAAAGCTCAAGTCAAGGAACTTGTGAGCCACCAACATAGGTACTCAACTTGCTTTGCACTGTGAGTGTTTGATGTAGACCTAAAAGTACTGTTTAATATCTGAATGCCTTAATTGTATATTTCTTACTGATAGTTAAGTTCTGATTTTTGGGTTTTGCCTCCTTCAGCTGAGTCTAGAGATGTGAAACTTTAGAATTATTATAGCAAAAATAGTTGCTCATGGTTTTGGAGCACTTAACTTTGTGGCACTATGCATATTTCTCTCATTTAAACCTCACAACAATGCTGTGTGGTGGGTACTATTATTAATCTCATTTTACAAATGAGGAACTTAAGGTTTAGTCAAGGAGCACACCTTCCCCGAAGTCTCACAGCTAGTAAGTACCAAAGCAAGGACTTGGGCCCAGACCTGTCTGACTGCGGAGCTCACGCTCTTAGCCAGTATGTTGTACTGTTTTTGCTTATGGCTTCCCTGTGTCTTGCTTTACTACCTTTAGATATCATATTTAGTGATGGTTTTAAAGTAGCTGGGATGTCCATGTGCTATTACATCTTCCCAGTTTTAGAGCAGCGTCTCTTACTCATAATTTGGTCAGATTGCAACATCGATCCAAGTGTGTTTACACTTGAGATCATAATACATAAGGAAACTCAAAGTTTGGAACTCTAACATGTTCCCGCTTTTTCTTGCATATTATAATGTCAATAAATACTGAAAAGGAAGAACTCTGCTTTCTTCCTCAGAAAGAGGAAGATTTATGACCAGGTGGTGATAAAGGTGAAGTATATTCTGATGGACATACTTCCATACTTCTAAAGGGCATATGTTTGTCCATTCCAGAAGATTTTACTTTCTTTCCTTAGTTATAATACATAGTATCTTCAGGTCTGGCTTTGAAAAGAAAATAGGGAGTAACAATAGTTTGAGGAATACAATGTCTCTATATGTTGCATTTTATATTATTATGAAGCTTTGAGACACTTGTTCATACTAAGGGCAGCTTTGTTAGCAAATCGTTTCCAATGAGCTTGCTAAAAACAAACTTTTTGATATTGCTTTGTCACGGATCTAGTCCTAGAATGATTATAGTCTTCTCTCTTTTTCTTAAGCAGTGATAAACCTTTTGATGAGAACAAAAAGGAAATAAATTGCTAACTCTGAAGGAACCAGTAAGAAATACACCGAAGTGTGGTCTGTTGTTTTAGAATAATTTGTTAAATGGACCAGAGTAATACAGTGGAACATGCATCACCTTATACCATATAGTAACTGATCCTTTTAAGTTTACTTGAACAGATTTCAGTCAGGAAAAAACATTGCTCAATTGTTTTCTTGAATTTATTCAACAAACAATTGAAAATAATATTTTAAAGGACATAATCTCCTCAGATCACATCTTAAAATTCTTGAATGAGATCCAGTTTGTCCATGCCTTGTAAGTAAGTTTATAACCTACTATGCTTTAGGGCCTCCTGCTACCTTAGGTTGACATATATTTAAGAAAAATAATTTCATTTCAATAGTAGCGTAAACAAACATTAGAAAAATAAATTTGCTGGAAACGTGAATGCAATCTAAACAAAATATGATTTTAAAATTATTTCTGCCATTAATTCCTTCCATATATGTGAATAATTAAGTTGATTTTATAGTGAAGTACCTTATGAGCCATACTTAAGGGTTTCTGAGAAGGACTATGAAGTTTTTCCTAGCTTAAATTCAATTAAGTTTTCATTATAGGATCACTATGACATGAAAAGGAACCAGAGTGAACACTTTTATACTTACTCTCTTCTATTTTAAAAATAGCTTGATTATGGATTTGTATTCTGGCATTGGTTTTTGAACCTTTGTGCCTTCATTCTTTCCAGTCTGTTTAAAAATCACTGGATAGTTTAAGATGGCAACTGACTAAAATAGGCCTTTGAGGTCTTTTGGTCTTCTAAAGGAGGAAGGCCAAATTTTGGGCCCAGTTTCTTATTTTAAGGATGTTTTCAAAATGTACAGTGGCTAAAGTTATCTTGTATGCAGTAATTTTGTGTTTATGATGGCTGTCTTCAAGTTTGGGGGAAAATAATGGCAAAACAAAAAATCACATTTGAGTAGTTCTTAGAGCAATTCCTAGAGATGTATTTCTTACCTGGCCTCTCCTCTCTACCCTGTATCTTTGCATTATTTAATACTTGGAAAAACCCACATAGCATTAAAAACAAAGTACAACTGAACAAAGTGATAAATACATTTTCTTAAATCTTTCTTTTCTAACTACAGGAACATTTAAACTTACAATAGAATTCACTGAAGAATATCCAAATAAACCACCTACAGTTAGATTTGTCTCTAAGATGTTCCATCCAAATGGCAAGTATCACTTTCAGTACAGTGTTTTAAACTACTATAGTGTTTATTATGGAGTATTCCACATTTCCTGTGTATTTTGTGGTGCCTGAGTATTTGTTTAGGCAGCTTGCTGCTTCCTGAAAGCTGAACTTGTTCTTGGTTTTCTGTGGCTGTCTTGTCCTAGAACTGAAGCAGTGGAGTTATTTTCCCTTTGCTTGGAGTCTGGGAGCCTCCTGATTTTGATGATCTTTGTCATTTACTTATTAAACAAAACGAAGGATGTTCTTGAGGTTTCCTTTTAATGCTAGGCCAGATTGGGATAGTCTTGTGTTGTAATTATTTTCATTAGCATTTAGAAAAGTACTTTTCATTGGATGCATATCAGAATTACTGTGGAACATTTTAAAAATGCAGATGCCTTTGCCTCACTCCAAACCTACTGAATAGGATTCTGTTGTTGAGGGCCAGGCATACGGTATGTCAGAAAAGCACCACAGGTGATTCTAACTTACCGCTTTGCGCTTTTTAAAACAGTAGTAAGCCTAGAACAGCTTGCCTTTTATTTAGGTTAATGAAGTATTTTTCAGGGTATCAGATATTTTTATCTTTTTGTCAAAATGAAATCTTGTGAACTCTGAGCGATCTTTTGTTATTTCAGATAGGCGATACAGCCTACAAATTTGGTGGAATGAATTTCCCACATGTCTGGGGATAGCTAGGGACCCTGTTCAAAAATGTTTGATTTCCTGGATAATAGGGCAGTCTTTTCCAAAGGATGAACACTAAGTATCTTCCAGTTTTATGCTGATCACATCTGACATTCTCTGATCATCCTGATTATTTCACTAGTAGTGGTTATGACTCATCTTTTTAGGCAGTTAACTGGGAAGCAACCTAGGAATCTTTTTAAAACTTCAAAAGCAAAGTCTTCTTGACTATTTTTGTTTTGTCTATAATGTTAAAACCTTAGTGGTTTTGTTATGTTTAATGTACCTACTTCTTTGTTCTTAGTCTATGCAGATGGTAGTATATGTCTGGACATACTTCAGAACCGTTGGAGTCCAACCTATGATGTGTCTTCCATTCTAACATCCATACAGGTGAATTTTTCCCTAATGTGACGAACTATAACTTTTAATATGTTTATATTAGCAATTGAATTGTTTTTGAAAGTCATAATGTAATAGACCTTTTTATTTTTGGTCAAAGCTTGTTTGTTTTATAGATGAAAAGTAGACCATTAAGACCCAAGTCAGCTGGGTGCAGTCGCTCACACCTGTAACCTCAGCACTTAGGCAGGCCAAGGTGGGAGGATTGCTTGAGCTCAGGAGTTTGAGACCAGCCTGGGCAACATAGTGAGACCCCATCTCTCTTAAAAAAAAAAAATAAATAAAAGACCCAAGCCACATGTGTTTTCCTAGCTACTAGCAGATTCATGTAACTCTGGGTTTGCGTGCTAAAGACAAGAAATGTAGCTGTACTTAGGACAATTCAATTGAGTGTCACTACCTTATAAAATAGCTGTTTTGCATTAAGTAACTGACATTTTAAAAATTGTCTCTTTAGTCTCTATTGGATGAACCCAATCCCAATAGTCCAGCAAACAGCCAGGCTGCTCAGCTGTACCAGGAGAACAAACGGGAATATGAAAAGCGTGTTTCTGCAATAGTAGAACAAAGCTGGCGTGATTGTTGACCCCGGGTACAGTTTAAAGAAGAAGCTGGCCATAAGAAAAATATATATTGATGTGTTTGTCACTCCCTACTCCTGTCATTACATTTACTTTATTAAAAGCAAAATAGCTGTTGTGCTGTTTCCATCTTCCTTGCCAAGTTTTCCTACCCCTTCTACCCTCTCCTTAAACATCAGAAAACACCCTCTATGAAATCAAATGTACTGTACCTGGGTTACTTGCAAAAATTACTAATGCTTCAGTTTTTCTGTTGTATTTCATTTCCAGTTTTCAAGCAGTTATTTTTATTACTGTACTTTAAGCTTTTAAGATGAATTGTTATACAAGAGGTGCTTATGCTTAGCTTGATGACCAGGATGTTATTTTTAATGAAATGATTGCTGAGTGTTTCATCCTGGCTGGTCCTTCACTTGTGTTGGATTTAGAAGTGAATGTGTTTGGAATATGGCCTACAGAGAATAGAAACAAATCCATGTAAACAATTTTGAAGGAGGAATGGGAGCTAAAAATCCTGTGATACTAAGATCTCAGTCATATGAATTACAAGATAGTATTTACTGGCAAGGAGAATGTTGAAGGACTCAGCTAAAGGAGTACAGCAATTGTAGTAACTGACACATCCTCTCTTTGCAAGCTACTGACAGGGCACACTCATGCTAAGTTTCAGAATATTGGTCTTCTGGGTTTTTGCTTTTTAAAAGAGGTGTGGGAGCAGAGGAATGGAAACATGCATGAGTTTTTGAGCTAGGGAAAGTTGGAGATCCTTTAATCTTTTTAAAGGATCAGTGCTGCCCTAGATGAATAAACTCAATTGTCCATCTTTATTTTAGAGTTTTAATGAATTCAAGGAAGGGAACACAGCATATCTGTGGCCAACTGTTTTCCACTCAAATCCTGAGTTATTGCTGCATGCTTTAATTTCTTCCCTTTCAGCATCTGAGAACTTTAAAGCCAACGTCTGCAATCTGTTTTTCGATATTTATACTTTTAGATATATAGTACCTTTAAGTAGCAGTATGGGACAAGGCTTGTAAATGTGTTGTCTAATGTTCTATTGTCACCTTTTATGCATTTATCACTTCCAAATCTAACTTTGCACAAGTAACCCATGTAAAAAAAAATGTACATTTTTCAAAGTTGTAAATAAAAATAACCTTAAAATTTCATAGTCAAGGTATCATTGTTGTTTTTTTCTGGTTTGTTTTGGTTTGGTTTTTTTAGCTCAGTATAAACTTTTTGTATTGGTTTCTTATTGGGATCTCATATCTACTCATTTCCCCCCTCAAACATTAAGGTAAAAGCAAAAATACTCATTCTGGGAATGGAAAAGACAAGACAGATACTTCTGGAGAGAACCTTTTTTTTTTCTTTCCAGTCATAAGTGGTAATGCTTTTTAAACATTAACAATATAGAGCTGGGCGCAGTGGTTCATGCCGGTAATCCCAACACTTTGGGAGGCCGAGGCGGGCAGATCACGAGGTCAGAAGATCGAGACCATCCTGGCTAACACAGTGAAACCCTGTCTCTACTAAAAATACAAAAAAAATTAGCCAGGCGTGGTGGCACGCCCCTGTAGTCCCAGCTGCTTGGGAGGCTGAGGGCAGGAGAATCGCTTGAACCCGGGAGGCGGAGGTTGCAGTGAGGCAAGATTGTGCTACTGCACTCCAGCCTGGTGACAGAACGAGACGCACCCTCAGAGACCAAGATCTAACTTGTTGATCCTGACATTCCATCTCTTTAAAAGCCCTAGCTCAAAAACAAACAGTACCAAACTACTAGATTTTTTTTTTTTTTTTTGAGACGGAATCTAGCTCTGTCGCCCAGACTGGAGTGCAGTGGTGCAATTTTGGCTCACTGCCACCTCTGCCTCCGGGGTTCAAATGATTCTCCTGCCTCAGCCTCCCGAGTAGCTGGGATTACAGGTGCCTGCCACCACACCCAGCTAATTTTTGTATTTTTAGTAGAGACGGGGTTTCACTGTGTTGGCCAGGCTGGTCTTGAACTCCTGACCTCATGATCCACCTGCCTCGGCCTCCCAAAGTGCTGGGATTACAAGTGTGAGCCACCGCGCCCAGTCTAGATGGTATTTTAAATCCTATGTAAAGTTTGGGAGTACAGATATCCTCAATCACTTTGATTAAACAAAACTCTGCTTTCTTCTGAGGAGCAACCCATCTCATTTTAAAGAGGCAAGGACAATGACTTTGTAAAAACTACCACCTCTTCGTACTTGTTTGGTTGGGTGGATGGGGCTAAATGAAGTTAAGTCCTTACGATGCATGTATCCCATTCATCTTTTAAGACATGCTACTTGAAGCCTCAGTATGGAGAAGTACAATCTGCACTAATTACCACATTACTTGGATTGTTTCACCTAGGAGCAATGTCCTTCAATTTGCTTAATATTTTCCCTCAAGTCCATTTCTGCTTCAAAGTAGAACCACATTACATTTTTCTATTTGGTGGATTAGTTTTGCATTAACTTTTTCATCCTGCTATGTGGCTGAGTGCTTTAAATATTGACACTGTTAATCATACCTGAAAAAATGTAAGGCGAGACTCAGAATGGTCAGGTTTAATAACTTTTTTCTTTTGTACACCTCCTGAGAAACACTATACCCAATCTCTTTCATAGGATAATCCGTTTAAAACCTTACAACAGAGCCAACAAGCTGACCTCCCAAAAACAACATATGCATGGTCAAAGGCACCACAAACCATTCATTTGAACATTTTATGCTAATTGCCTCTTTCTCCCTTTAAACACCACAGGCTACATGTATTGATAACAAAGTTAATGAAAACAAATTTGCACGGTCCCTTTTTCAAATGGCAGTCAGGTTTGAACTTTTCAATTCTGCATGTGCTGATGTGGGGAAGGAGGTATGATGAAGAACCAAAGCTGCAATTAGAATCCTTTATTTAGGACCCATCTCCAGCTCAGGGGTTACTCATAGCAAAGAGAATGCATTGTATACTACTAAAAAAGAATCCCAACAAAAGGCATGATATTTCCATTCATTTTGCAATCAAAGGGGAGGAAAAAAATCCAAAAAGTACATCTGTGACACTAAAAGCTAGATATAAAATGGAAAGCACAGTTAGTTCTTCAGTATAAAAAACAAGTAATCCAAATAAAATTTGAAATTGCTCATGTACCTGTGCAGATTTTATAGAAGGTTTCTGGGTTAAGAATGACTACATTTCAAAGAAAGGGAAAATACAGTAACCAACTGAAAGGGGACAAAATGGAACAACAGCAAGCTTGTCAGCAGCTCATTCATGCCAACGCCATTCTCAACATTATTTTATCCTCAAGCAAGTTTTAGGTGATTTTGCTCTAATTCTGTATCAGTATCACAGATCCTAAGAAGTTAGGCAATCTGGCCCCTCAAATCCAGTAACCAAATTTGTATCTACTTGGCGCAATTATTTGGGAGCCTTCCTAACTGTAATTACCTTAATATTCTGTTCTGTTGGACTCACCTAGACAAACCAGATTCACATTTAACATTCCCCTACCTTTCCCCGCCTCAAAATCATTTGGGGAAGAAGAAAGAAATCTAAAGAGAGTAATCAGTCCACTTTTCATATCCCTTAATCCCAAAGCCACTCTTACTCAGAGAATTGAAGGCAGGTTTTTTCTAACTCACAAATTCAACATAGCTTCTGAAGGCTGGTATGAACCTTGTAAATGAAAAACAAAACAAAATTGTAGTCCAGGTGTAGTGGCTCATGCCTGTAATCCTAGCACTTTGGGAGGCTGAAGAGGGTGGGCTGTGTAACTCCAGGAGCTTGAGACCAGAATCCCATTTCCACTAAAAATACAAAAAATTAGCCAGGCCAGGTGGTGTGCACCTGTAGTCCCAGCTACTCGGGAGGCGGAAGTTGCAGTGAGCTGAGATTGCGCCACTGCACTCCAGACTGGGTAACCGGAGTGGGACCCTGTCTCAAAAAAAAAAAAAAGAAAAAAAAATTGTAATCCTATAATATCTACAAATATATTGCTTAGTTCTTTTTGCCAATGTTAATATGAAGTGCCAAAATAAAATGTACACCTCATTTCTCTTCCTACCTACATTAAGAAAGGCTATGCACTGTAGAAAGACTGTTAATGGAAAACCATTATCACACTGGTTAGTTACTGTAGATGATTACCAGTTACAGAGATCCAGGTATAAAGGCTAATCCTTTTATGTTTTTTAAGCATTAATTTAACCACAGTGGGCAGCCGCTTAATGTAAAATATAAAAAACAGGGGCGGGCGCGTTGGCTCAAACCTGTAATCCCAGCACTTTGGGAGGCCGAGGTGGGCAGATTGCCTGAGTGTCAGGACTTCAAGACCAGCCTGGTCAACATGGTGAAATCCCATCTCTACTAAAAATACAAAAATCAGCCAGGCGTGGCAGCGGGTGCCTGTAATCCCAGCTACTTGGGAGGTTGACACAGGAGAATCATTTGAATCCAAGAGGTGGAGGCTGCAGTGAGTCGAGACTGCACCATTGCACTCCAGCCTGGGCAAGAAGAGCAAAACTCCATCTCAAAAACAAACAAACAAACAAACAAAACAGGGGAAAGGAAATTACGATTTCTTGTTGGCCAATTACATGTCAAGCATGGTGCTAAATGTTTTCAAGCACTGTAAACCACCTAATTGTCCCGAACATCATTTCATTAAGAGGTGTCTAATGATCAATGGTAAATTCTCCTGTGCTTTTATGAGGCTATACTTGATTTACCCGAGATACAAAAACAAAATCACATAAAAGGGAGCGGCCTAAGATTTGGTTGAAGCCAGCATGTTGGCCCACAGGAAAAAAGTGATAGTTGACTGATTCCTATCTGTTAAATCTGGACATTCATCCACATGTGCTCTGGGTGCTGAACTATTCTGTGCAAACACCACTTCCGTTCTCCAGAGACCCAGTGCTGCTACAAGGCTGCTGCCCGGAAATGAGCACGCCACCATTCTGATCAACTCTGGCTCCTTTTTATTCAGGAAGCATACACTAATTCTTTTTATACATTTTTTTTTTTTTTACATTCCAGAAATAAGTGAAAATAGCAGTTTTAAATATGTTACAAAGTTGGCTTTTCAGGCTTAATAAGCTTTTTGAGAGAGGGACCAGCCAACTGACCTTTTCATCAAAGCACCAATGTATCTTCAGTCTTTTACCAAGCTCTACCACAGCTGTGGTTGCCTTGGATGTGCTGCACATCCAAACCGTGTGAAAGCTATAATGGAGAGTTGCTGTGAGTCTCTCTGCAAGGCACCAAGAACAAACAGTTCAAGCTTCCTTTCTTCAGATTGAACCAAAGTTTTTGAAACTTTCAACTGCTCTCTCAAGTAGTGCTCTCTCAGCGTGAAGACTAGAATTTGTTAAAACCCATATATCACAAGATACAGTAAATCACTTCCAATATTCTGGAAATCACATGGTAGAAGTTATAAATAAATGAACACTAAAATTACTTTAAGAAACTTTTACATCATTTAGTTGGTAAGGACATTTACGTGTACAGCACAATTTATTGTTAAACATTCTATAACTGGCTTCACACAAAGATGAAAATAGATTAATACAAAATGATCTGACATTTTCAGTAAATCTGGAATTAAGACTGGATTTTTATTGTAGTCAATATCAACTTTACATATTGTTGCAGGTTGCTGTGCTATGCCCTTTAAAATGAGAATTTCTCGGGGTAAAATTCCATTTGGATATGTGTTCTTGCTTGTCAAACTACTAAAATCTGAGGGACACAGCAATATCAAAGACACAAACAGTAACTGCACAATATCACCTGCTGGATTAAGCTAATACAAGTGGACAGAATTCTTTAGGTTCCAATATCTAATAAACCACTATGTGAAATGAACAAGGTGAGACATCTTATGAATATACTCTGCAACCGGAACATGTAGCATTTCTTTAATTCAAAAATCTGCCTCATTAGGCATTTACAAAATAAATTAGTAAGATCTCAATTTGCTTGAGGCATAACAAGCTCGTAATGGCCCACTTGGCCTTCCTGTTTGAGCTGATCTAGTAGGTCTTCCTTCCGTCTTTTTCTACCTACCACCAGGTACCTATCATGGCCCACCCCATGAGACTTACTCTTAAGACCATACTTCTGGGCAATCTGATGTATTTGCTTCCGTTCATCATTAGTCAGCTCTCTAGAGAAAGTCAAATCTGTGTGGCTCTCGGAGCGGGCATAGTTTCTGATGATCTGTTCAATATCTCTCTTGGCAATTTTATTCACCCTCTCTACATCCAGACCAAGCCCTTCCCGCTTATGCTGCTCTTTGACTGAGATAGGCTCCCGTATGCCCTCACCAGATTTACCTAAACCACCACCAGTCCAACCCATCTTTCTCAGAAGCTGATTTCCAATGTTATCTTCTTTGATTTGTTGTTTGTAAGCCTCCTCTGCTGAGCGGCCCTGAATTTCATTTCTTGAAATCACATCTTCAACAGCTCCTTTCTTCAAGTTGTTAATGACAGTTGGCTGGGTCTTTTTGAGGGTTTTCACAGCTTCCCCAGCAGCTTCATATTTGACAGTTTTCTTCACCCCAACTGCTTCTGCAATTACTTCACTCTCTAGAATCACTTTGCATTTCCAGCGGAGGCCTGTCATCCTTTCATAGACATACTCAACTGTCATTCGGTTAAACTGAGCTGTGTCATTCAGCGTGCACACGGGATTTGAAGAATTCTCATAAACTACAAGATCCTTTATATCTTTCTTCTTTCCAGATCCTCTGGGTGAAGAGCCTGTATGGCATTGTGAACTTTTGACAGATGGATAAGTGGGCTGTGTTTTTTGAAGAATTTTCAAAGCCTCGTCGGCAGCTGCATGTTTACTTGTTTTCTTGGTTCCATAACCTTCAGCTAAGCAGTGATCTTGTAAAAACACTCGACAACGCCATGTGCGATTTGGCATCATCTCATATTTGTATTCAATTGACATCTTGTTGAATGAGGCAGAATTGTTAAGGATACCAATTGCATCATTTGCATTTTCTGTAATGACAAAATTGGTCCAGTGTTTGGCGGAAGCATTAAAAACTGGCTGCCCGGAAGCATCTTTACCCAGTACCACCAGGTCTTCTGGTGGTTTCAGAGCTGGAGGAAATTCATAGGAGGACATGCCAATCTGACACACCACGAGGTCCTCTCCAAACGTATGTTTGAATTTCCGCCGGACAACTCTAACTTCAATACGTTTCTGCAAGAGTTTTACAGCTAGTTCTGTAGCTCGATCCCTGGACCCATTCTTGCTGCCAGCATAACCTGTAGTTAAGTAGATATTTTGGCATCTAACTTCACAAGCATAGCCATCAGTTAGAAGTTTTTTATTTTTGGGGATGTCAGCAGGAGGAATTTCCTTTAAAGGAGCATATATATACTCAGGATTTGTCTTACATGCCTGAATACAACGAGTTAACATATATGTATAATTAATTTTATCAGATCCAGAAGTCATCTCTGGATTAGAAAGGTTCTTCCAGATTGTCGCCGTTAATTTTTCAATAAAATACTGCTTCTCGGCTACCACGGACTCGGGAAATGTCTGTGATGGTGAAGGCTCAGGAGTTGACTGAGAGTTTGCCTGCTGTGATGTGCTGCTTGGGGCAGGGTTCCCACTGTCAAAATACATGTTGGCTGCTACAGGCTGGTCTTTTGTGAGAATGAATCCTGATGAATCACAATACTGAGAATTCCCATCTTGTATACTGAAAGAGTCTTGAGTATAATCTTGGTAGATGTCTCTTGGCATGCTGGCAAAATGTGTTTGTTCATTTACCTCTTTTGTTTGAGGGCCATAAGGATCTTCCTGTCTTTCATCTTTTGAACTACTAGCTACAAAATGTACAGGCTCAAAACGAGGTCTCGCATGGAATTTGGAACCGGCTTGCTTTTTAGGAGGATTTTGACCTATAGAATGAGTGAAATTTACAATTCATTAAAATGGGAATATTTCAAAAGAACCAAACAGGAAAATAGTACCAACCATATTATTTGCAAGCTGCATTGTTGGTACAAGATACTTCCATCACAAAAACTTCACATCATTTGGGTGAAGGGACTCAATTATCAATGTAAGATTCCAGCATAAGGAGGGATGTTCCCCGTCTTTCCACATGTACGGGAAGACCCTTGATAGAAAATATACCATTGAGTCAAGTATGCAGGTCACCACCACACATTACTGGTAGCTGCTTTTGCATCAAATGAGCTAAAGCACAGGTGAAGTATACTCTTCACTTGTGCTGGAAGGTGAAGTGGACTGGAAGATTGTTCCAGTACAATCTCATACCACCCATGCTGAAAAGCTCACTTAAGGATTGAAAATGGGAAAGATGGTTCTAATGCAAGGCAGATGATGAGCAGAGGCAGTTACAAAGCCTTTCTCTTTTGTATCAGAGGTGAGTGACTCTGTGATGGTGCTTTACATAGTTGTGACTAAAAATCAAAGAAAAAGAATGATCAAAAGTTTTCAACTTCAAAACCTCAGCTCTGACCCATTCATCACAAAAGGGTGTTTGCTCTATTTTCTTTCTAGAACAAACAACAGCTGGAAACTAATGATTTATGTGAGATGCCAAATTTAAAGCTATAGATGAACTCTGATGAGGCTATACTAGACACTAGAGCTTCCTCCCTGTAACACTGCTCAGTAGAAAGCTCGTCCATCCCGGACCCATCCAAGAGGATTTAGGGACTTAGATGCTCAAGTGATCACAGGATAAGATTTTATTTAGAGGGCGGTTCCATGGCATAAATTTCAAGGACTGCATAATAATATGATTTCGATATTCTTAGTTTTCAATTCTATTTAGCATACTCAAAAAAGTGTATATAACTAAAAACTAAAACTCTTTTACCCGTAAGAACTAATACTACCAATGTTATTTGAAATCATATACCACACTCATACCATTTTTGAAAGCCATGTTTCTTCAAATCCCACCTTTCAGAAACAAGTATACTCACCATCACATGTTGAGAGGTGGCGTTTTTGACCTTTGGAAGGCTTGGACAGCACCAGATCATATGAAGGCATCTCCCCAATATCAATACCTTCAGCCATTTGGAGAATTTTTTCCATCAGGCGTGGGCTGTACCTATTTAAGTTAATATAATCTAGAGTTAAAACAGGTAAGGATGTCTTTTTTAAAAAGCTTCAAAATAAGCCAGTCTTATAATTGCTCCCACAAGACTTTATCAACAGGGTATTTTGGCTATAAAACCAAAGAATCGGCCCTAAAATATTTACCCATCAAATGAATAATTATGTTACTAATTAGGAAATCAAGATTTTTTCAGCATAAGACATACAAATATAAATTCAAAAAATTTTAGCAAAAACCTTATCTTTAATTTGAATTGAAAATATCAGTATAAATTCATGATTTGTTTTGATTGTGGTCTCTACCATTTCTCTTGAAATGGAATCAGGGTCCTTAGAGAAGTGGCTGATTCTAAGTCTGTGGCAGGAAATGTCTAAGGTGAGCCTGAGAAATCTTCTAGCACCTAAAACCAAGGAATCTGTCAAAGATCAAAGGGGTTGTGTCAAATGGACTCAGAAGCCAATCTGAATAAACTCATACTGGCAAAGTGAGCCAACTAAAATATCAATAAGAACAATGATGGCAATGGATTGAAACACATCAAATATGTTGAAAATCCATTAGTTCATAATGATACTTACAAACTATTATTGGTCACCTTTGTTTTTTTTTGTTTGTTTGTTTGTTTGTTTTTTGAGACGGAGTCTCACTCTGTTGCCCAGGCTGGAGTGCAGTGGCCGGATCTCAGCTCACTGCAAGCTCCGCCTCCCGGGTTCACGCCATTCTCCCTGCTCAGCTCTCCAAGTTAGCTGGGACTACAGGCGCCCCGCCTCGCCCGGCTAGTTTTGTTTGTATTTTTTCAGTAGAGACGGGGTTTCACCGTGTTAGCCAGGAGGTCTCGATCTCCTGACCTCGGTGATCCGCCGTCTCGCTCCCAAGTGCTGTGGATTACAGGCTTGAGCCACCGCGCCGCCGGCTATTGGTCACCTTTGAAGGATGGAAGGAACCATGTCATTATTCTCAACAGTAATATGAAAGAAGAAAGCAACATTTATCCTGCATTTTCCTGTATAAACTGTACTTAGAGCAACCAAAGAGATGATGAGGAAATATCTTTTAGAGAAGCATTCCAGCCTAATAAATGAAGAACTGATGGGACTACTACCATTTCGTAACCTATAATAAAATAAAAAAACGATCATCAGGCGGGTATGGTGGCTCACACCTGTAATCTCAGCACTTTTGGAAGCGAAGCAGGTGGGATCACTTGAGGTCAGGAGTTCGAGAACAGCTGGCCAACATAGTGAAACTCCATCTCTACTAAAAATACAAAAATTACCCGGGCATGGTGGTGGACACCTGTAATACAGCTACTCAGGAGGCTGAGGCAGAAAACTGCTTGAACCTGGGAGGCAGAGGCTGCAGCGAGCCAGATCATGTCCACTGCGGCTCAGCCTGGGCGACAGAGAGCTAACTTCCATCTCAAAAAAAAAAAATCAACCAACCAATCAATCAATCAATGGGCTGCTAAACCCTAATTAGGTGAAAAGCTAATGGAGGAAGAACTTCAGTCAGACCTCAACAAAATATTCTCAATTGATTAGCTGACCAAAGCGACACAAGCGCAATTCAATGGAGGACAGGGATACCGCCCCGCCTTTCCTCAACAAAATGGGCACCGGAACAAGTGGGCAATGCCATAGGCAAACAAAAAACAAACAACAACAAAAAACAAAAACTCTACAACTAACCTCACACTTACAAAAAACTAACTCAAAATGCATCATAAACTAAATGTAAAACTATGAAACTTTTATTGAAAAAAAACAAGAGAAAATTCTGGGATCTAGGCTAGTGCAACAGTTCTTAGGGCTTGATAGCAGCATGATCCCATCATAAAGCAAACTGGTAAAAACGGACCTCACTAGAAATTAAAAAGTTTGCTAGGGGGGGGTTTGCGGTGGCTCACTGCCAATAATCCCGAAGGCACTTTGGGGCCAAGGCAGGTGGAATTACTTTAGGTCAGGAGTTTCAGGACCCAGCCTGGCCAAACATGGCCACCCCTCTTCTCTACAAAACGAATACGACAAAACAACATAGCTGGACATTGTGGCTAACACACCCGCATCCAAGGCTACTTGGAAGACTGGGCACGGCAGAATCACTCGAACCGGGAGGTGGAGGGTGAAGTTGAGCTGGAGATCCCGCACGCCACTGCACCTGCTGCCAGTCTCTGCGCCGCCGTGTCGTCTGCGATGACTACCCCGAGCGAGACTCGTCTCAAAAAAAAAAAAAAAAAAAAAAGTAAAATTTTGCTCTTTGAAAGAACTGTGAAAAGGATGAAAAGTCAAGCTGAAGCCTGGGAGAAAAATAGTTGGTAAAACCACACACTTGACAAAGACTAGTACACCTAAACTCACAGTTAAAAAAAAAAAAATCAAATTAAAAAATGAACAAAAGACATAAACAAAATATTTCACCAAAGAGGATAGACAGATTGCAAATAAGCACATGAAAAGATGTTCATCACTAGCCAGCAGGGAAATGCAATTTAAAAATCACAATGAGGTATCACTATACACTTATTAGAATGGCCAAAATAAAAAAGTGACAATGGCTGGGCACGGTAGCTCACGCCTGTAATCCCAGCACTTTGGGAGGCCAAGACGGGTGATTCACGAGGTCAGGAGTTCAAGACCAGCCTGACCAACACGGTGAAATCCCGTCTCTACTAAAAATACAAAAATTAGCTTGGCGTGGTGGCATGTGCCTATAATCACAGCTCCTCAGGAGTATGAGGCAAGAGAATCGCTTGAACCTGGGAGGCAGAGGTTGTAGAGAGCCGGGATTGTGCCATTGCACTCCAGCCTGGGTGACACAGCAAGACTCCGTCTCCAAAAAAAAAAATGTGACAATACCAAATGCTGGCAAAAATGAGAAGAAACTGGATCACTCAGACATTGCTGCTGGGAATGTAAAATTATACAGTCACTCTGGAAAACAGTTTGGTAGCTGCTTATAAAACCAAACATCAGACTGGGTGCGGTGGCTCACGCTTGTAATCCCAGCACTTTGGGAGGCCAAGGTGGGCGGATCACCTGAGGTCGGGAGTTTGAGACCAGCCTGACCAACATAGAGAAACCCCGTCTCTACTAAAAAGACAAAACTAGTCAGACGTGGTGGCATATGCCTGTAATCCCAGCTACTCGGGAGGCTGCGGCAGGAGAATCGCTTGAACCCAGGAGGCGGACGTTGCAGTGAGCCAAGATCGCACCATTGCACTCCAGCCTGGGCAACAAGAATGAAACTCCGCCTCCAAAAAAAAAAAAAAAAAAAAATCAGTTACCACTTGATCCAGCAATTGCAATTACACTCTTGGACATTTATTCCAGAGAAATGAGAACTTATGTTCACACAAAAACCTGCTTTATTTGTAACAGCCCAAAACTACAATCAACCCAGATGTCCTTCAACAGATGAATAGTTAGATTCTGGTACAAATACACTATGGAACACTACTTGAGACAAAAAGGAACTTTTTTTTTGAGATAGAGTCTCTCGCTCTGTCACCCATGCTGGAATGCAATGGCGTGATCTCGGCTCACCGCAACCTCCGTCTCCTGGATTCAAGTGATTCTCCTGACTCAGTCGCCCAAGTAGCTGGGACTATAAGCATGCATCACCATGCGGGGCTAATTTTTGTATTTTTAGTAAGACCCCTGTCTCACTAAGACATGTGAGACTCAACATGTCTCACCATGTTGGCCAGGCTGGTGTCAACCTCCTGACCTCTCCGCCAGCCTCAGCCTTCTAAAGTGCTGGGATTACAGGCATGAGTCACCACACCCCGCCATCTCTTTGTATTATTTCTTACAGTTGCATGTGAATCTATAATTATCTCAAGAAAAATTTCAGTTTAAAAAGCTGATTGGGGACTTTATCATCTTAATATCACTAAAAGTGGGACAATGAAACATGTACCCCAAGATGTGATACAATAGGACATCACGGCACTATCTAGAACGCATTATGGCTCTCCAGAGAATTAAACCTGAACCTAATCAAGTTCCTGACTCCCAGAAACATGTGAAACACCACAAGAATGGAACTATCCAACTCCAGAATGAGGGAACAGTATGTGACAGCCCAGTCATCAAATAAATACTGTAGAATGAAAATAAAAGAGGGAGTGGCTATAGGTTAAAGGAGATGGATCAAATACACTGTATAGACTTTGTATCATGAATGAATCAAACTGTAAAAAGACATTTGAGACAAATGAAGAAAACGACATGAAAGAGGCATTGGGTAATTTTTAAGAAATTACTGTTAATTTTGTTGAACATGAATAATGCAATCATAACTCTATTTTTATTTTTTTT